CTGCTGTTGCTTCCCCACCTACAGAAATATTATGGATGGCAACTTCACCATGATCGTCCAGTAGTCTGGGGATGTCCTTTTTCCACTTTTCAGTATGTGAGGAGCTGTGCAAAACTCCAGGATACTGCGTCTGTCCATAGGAAGGTCAGGATCCACAAAATCTAACTAGATCTCATGTTGTAAGAGTGCACATGAACATGCTGTCTGCTCACCCCACCTCCTGCAGTTCCATGCAGGGGTTTTGACATCTGCCTTCCCCACTCCTCGCTCAAGAGCTGCTCTGTGAAAGGTGGGAGGTTTGTTCCCAACACTGTTAACAGGGGCAGACACTCTCTCTGTCTCTGCCAAACGGGGCCAAGGCAGGACATTTTGCTGCACAGCCACCTTGGTTTTCTGAACTGCCTTGTGCTCTCTTTGTAAGCAAATCTTAGGTACTGAAACAATTTTGGTGTAGTTGAGTGTCCTAGATCCCACCATAGTGGCTTTGCCTCTACTAACCTCATCTCCCTCAGGCTGCAGACAGTTCACAGCAGGGCAGATGGCATCTTCATCCTCAGAGTCCTCCTGCTCAGAGAATGATGCATCTGAGGGAAACAAGTGGCTCTCACTGGAGCGCTGCACCTCCAAGAGACGCTCCCGCTCTCTCTCCAGTCTGTTATTGCAGAGATCCTTTGAATGATTCAGTTTCAGTTTCTTCTTTTTTGGTGTTCTCATTTGTTTTACCCTTGATCTCTTCTCATCGCAAAAGCTCTCTCTTTCAAAACGCCTTTTCAGTTTTCTCTCCATATAACTGATTCCATCCTTTTTCCCTCGGCAGCAATCATTCTGTTGGAAAGATATTATGGCAAAAATCCTAATTATGAGTACACAAGTCATAAGTACACATCTACCACTCATTATATTCTATTATTTGGCTCGCCTTCCCTGTCCATCTACTCGGAAGCGACCCCAGTCTCATGGCCATTGCCAGACACTTGCCTTTTCATTTGCTGGGCCAGCTGAGGACCTCTGCTCCGTTTGGGAAGCAGGACTTTGCTTTGTGAATAGGATCTCGTACAGCTCCTGTATTTCGGGCAGAGAAACCTGTAGCAGCTGGGCTTCCATCATCAACTCGTCCAGCTCTGTGCTAATGACTGTTGAGGGAGAGAGAGGAAAAAGGAAGATATTTTCCATGTCAGAATCAATGAGAACCTCTTCTGTGGTAGCACATAAGAAAAAGCTGTGAAAGACCTTGATCTGCAAGTGTACAAATTAACTTGTATCTGTTCACTCTTCACTGCTCATTCTTAACAGCAAGGTTAAAAAGAAAGGTAGAGGCTCGTACAGAAGTTGGTAGCAGTAAAGAAGAGTCTGCTGAGCAGTGACCTCTCACTACATAACAAGTGGATGAGGGGACACGGTGTGAAACCCGTGACTGAAGCCAAGAAATGAGAAGAGACAAAGGAGAGCTGAGAGGATGTTTAAACTGATCCCTGCTGTACAGTCACTACCCACTATTAATATCGAGCTTACAAAGCTTCTGCAATAGGATTTTGAAACAGTCACAGTGACAATAGGTCAAAGTCATAGTGTAAATCACAGCTTTTAAAAATAGTGTTCAATACAACTCAAATGTGGCCTGCAAGCTAAATTTGGTCCTAGAAAGCACTTGATTTTAACCATAACTTTAAACTGAAGTAAACGATATGTAAGGTTAATATGGACTAAACAGTACTGACTCAAAAAAATGGACAATAAGACCTAGCTCCTCTGGGCAGCAGTGATCTGTATCAGGAAGTGAGAAATACCTTTTTATGGTCCTAACCTAATACTATTGGTAGCATGTCTCCATTAGCCTGATAATCACAGATGTGGAGCCAGGGAGCACGGAGAACATGCTGAGTAACCTGGACTCTGCCAGCAACAAAGAAAACACTGCAGTCTCTGTGACCCAGACAGTTGCTCTGCAAGCCAAACTTAGGTGGACTGGAGTCATACGGATACTCTGCTGTCTCCATCGCTATTCCTTGTGTTATTCTTTTCCACCTCCTAAAAATGCATTATTTTCTCCCCTCTCCCCTTTGTTTTCCTTTCCTGTATCTCCTGTTTCACTTCCACAGGCCACAGTGTGCTGTACACATGGAAAGGGGCCAGCTGACTGCTCCATCAGAATAAGGGCTGAAAAATTACTCCTTTTCTCTCTGTTGTGGCACTGCTTTGATATCCCTTCTCCTACCTTGCCACATCATTCCATTACAGATGGAGGAACTCTGTATCTTTGAGAAATTTAACCCTCTGTCAAAACTGGACATTACTTCCAAGGCTGCCAAGGGGATGGAGAAGCAGTGGCACCTGCTGCACAGTCACAGGCTCCTTCCCTTAGCAGGCCCAGATGCAACTGGAGGACATGTCAGCACCTCCTGTTAACCAGGACATCTCCCCATGATAAAGAATGAAAAATGAAGCAGAAAATTACAAACCATGAAGGGGGATGCAGTGTTGTCCTGTAGAAAATGAAGAATGTAAATATATGGTCCTGTTATCCCAGTCCCAAGGCATGGAGAATGACATAGCTCCAATTGTCTGGGAAACCTGGAAAAAAAATCATACATTTTTTCTACATATTTCATTTTAAAAGACTAAAAGACTACAACAGAGTCAGAACTTTTTATTCCCTCATAGAACTGCTTAAACTTTTATTCCTATAGTGCATTCAATCTAATTCACATAAACACTTAATCCTAAACCTGGAAATAAGCAAAAGCAGCTTTGTGTTTTAAATTCCTAGCTGTGAACTGTGGTTTCCACAGATATGGGAACCGAGCCCTTATATGCATGCAGCAGCATTTTCTCCTGGAAGAGAACAAGCTTTTAGAGTAGACTAGAGACAACGCACAGTCACTTAAGGGATAAATTATCAATTTGTGGAAGATCTTCAGCTCTGGAACTGACCCAGTATAGAACCTATGGTTTTCTTTCGTTCTGCACAACGCAGACGTGATTTCTCACGCTGAATGATCTGACTTGATCTGATGAGACATGTTTTGAAGCACATTTGGTTAGATCAGCATGCACAGAATACGTCAGTACTGAAACTTGCACTCATTTGTGCAAAGGCTACTAGTACCAGACAGCAAGTAGCATTTTTGGACTCCGAAAATATCAGAAAGGCACTTTTGAAACATAATTACTCCAGCTGCAGCATATCCAAATAGCGCCTCTCATCAGCTATGTTTTTCCACATTATCCTTACTTTCTTCCCCCCTGCTAGGATTTATCAACGTGTTCGCTGCAATCCAATTCTGTCAAGTGCTTCTGCTAATCTCTTCATCAGGTTAGTCCCTAAATCAGCAGAGCTGAGATAATGCTAATTTCCTGTGAGGAGGAAGGGGATGACAAACTGGAGGTAAACTGCAATGCATGCAAGTATTTAACCCAATCTGCTGTATTCAGAATAGTTCAATTTAAATAGTCTTAGCTATAGCAGGTGCCTGTTTCTAAGATGGTCAATGGCAGCTGGTCCTTAACTTGCTGAACCACTTGTAAAATTCTCACTGGATGCTTTTCAAAACCTTGTCGTCTCTCTCAGTGTTGCAGAGTCTGGGCCCCTTTCAAGATTTCTCTCTCATCAACTGCTCACAGCTGTTTTTCAGCTGAATTTTTCAAACTCAGCTAAACGCTCCACGTCTTCACTTTGCTTGTGCCAAAGAAGCCCAACTCCAGTGGTTACTGTTACAAACTTCTCTGGGGGAAGGAGAGTATTGGATTACCCTGGATAACGGGGAAAACATGACTGCTACAGGACAGGAGAGGGTGCTGAGACACCCGATTCACAGGACAGAAAGGAACCCGAGTGCCCCAGGACTTCAGTTTTGGCTCAGAGCCTTTATTGAGCCGCTCCAGCTGGGTACCTCTGAGCAGCCCACGGTGCTCTTGGCTCCAGGAGGGCTTAAGAGCTCAGGCTCAGTGAAGGACCCAAGTTGCCTCATGTGGTTATCCCTGAGCTTCCCAAGAACAACTCAGCTGGGAAATGTGGTCACAGGGACACTTGAACCAGCCCTGCTACAGTTACCTTGATGTAGCAGGTTTTACTAATTTGAGCTTCAGACCACACAACACGGTTATACGGCCTTCAGCGCTCAGGAGGAATAGTTGCATGTGTGTGGTTGCTGAGCTAGTAAAACTATGCTATCCCTGCATAAAATAAGGATTTTTTTGTGCACAGTTAACTGGAAAAGCAAATAAGCTGCCCAGTTACAACAAAGAGTAGAGCTTTGTTGCTATTACAACAAAGCCATACTGTATTTAGCTGTAAAGCTTATCATTTCCATTTTTGCCCCAAACATGAGATGATATGTGAAAAATCTTACCCATTTTCTTTTCAGCTACACTATCTAGTCTAGTGGAAAGACACTTCCAAACTTAGCTGAGACATTCTCTTAGATGCCTAAATATAGACTTGCCTTTATAAAACAGCCTTCCTTATTTGAAGCATTTGGCCTACGCCAGCAACTTGGTACGCAGATCACCTTGGCTGTACCAAGCAGCTACAGCACCTCTTCAAGCATCCATGATGTACTTCTTGTTTAAATGAATGGAACATAAAGACACACACACTGTATTTAACAAGACAGGACTACCAGAAATAAGGTGTTTCAATTAAAAAAGCCATTGCATTTTGGGGCATTTTATATTCCTTATGCTGCACTGACCTTTTATTTCGTATTTCTCCTCCATTTATTATCTCAGGAAATATTTAACCCATTTCCCTGCCATTTTGGCTGCAGGATCTCCTTCCTGAGGAAGTCAAATCCCTTCAAGATCACACCTAAAACATCTCCCGTAGCTTAATTCAGAGTAGCATTAGCACAAGGTTCAGCTTAAGAGTTTAAATGTAAGCAAATGTAAGCAAAAAGGAGGCGTAACGGATGAAGACTCCCTGCTGGAAACAATCCTACCTGTGAGCTACACTTGCAACACATTTTTTTTTCTCTGTTACTAGTGCTCCAAATTTAAGATTACTTTGAAATACTTGTAAATAAAGGATATTTGATATTTAGCTAGCCAAATATTGAGTGCTCTTAGGAACAATAGCTTCAGCAACTCTGTCATTACCAGTATCATGTTAGAATGTAGGAACTGGGAAGAGAAGATGCAAAAGAGGTCCTGTAGGAGTAATTGTTCTCCAAACTCCAGCGGAAAGGGAACATTACATTACTGTTGGAGGACACACACATGCTGGCTAACTGACAAGGCAGACCCCTAACTCTGTTTCTGTACTGCTTTACCAATATAATCTGCCTTGCCAGTATAAAGATATTGTATGAATAATCAAGTGGCATAGCCAAGACCCAAAAAAGAGACGTGTTCTTGCTGCCCACATGCCACCTGCAGCCAGGAAACCCAGAAGTAGCCCATCTTACCTTATTTGTCTCTGGCAATTGGCTTGCTGTGGCTTGCCATCTGTTGTACAGTAATCCTGAGCCAACTTTGTCTTGTATGAGTTTTAGATTCCCTGAATATAACATTTGTTGTGCTCTGTGCTGCCAGTTCACAGTCCTCTCTATCATATAGCGTAAAGCATCCCCCTCGGGAAGCCGTACGCGAATACGCTGCAAGGACGCCAGCAAGGGGAGGATTTTTTCTAAAGGTGGCTTTTCTGATCGATGACAGTGTGGACAGAGCCACACACGAGGTCCCTGCAAAGTGCTGGGCACTGAAACACAGCTGGTATGGAAGAACCCTCTGCAGAGCTCACACTGGATCATTGGAGCAGCCGGCTCTTTCTGGCATAGACAGACTTTCATTTCTGCGTCCTCTTCGTTAGACAGCACCTTTACTTCATTTGCTGCTCGCAGAGAACGCAGTGCTTCCATCTCCTTTAATCGGGCTTCCCCAAGCGTAGCCATCTACAAGGGAGTTAACAGAAATGGATGTCATTCCTGGACGATTATTTCTCAAGTAACATCACTCATTAGAGACAGGGTGACCCCTGCGCAATCACACTGCAGAGGTGCTGCCAAGTATTTCAGATGTTTAAAGTTCATCACCTTTGCATGCCTCCCATCACAGCTTTGAATGTCTGGAAGGAAGTAGTTTTGAGGAGGCACAAGTGACCTGACTTCACTATTTCCTTCCGTTGCCTCATCAGGCCCAGAGATGCAAAGCTGACTCCACTGCAAAAAATAGCCTAACTCCCTTCCTCTTTGACCCACATCCTTCTCATTTTGTACTACAAAAAATTACCTTCATTAAAACATCGAATTTCTGAATTAAGGGGCAGATATGGCCTACAGATATTTGAGCGGTTTGTTCATGGAAAAGTATTTAGTCTGATTCTATTTAAGCTTAAAATACCCTGGCATTTTTCAGGAATACAAACGTATCTGTCATGCCTGTATTACGTACACAGTCCAGCAAACATGGTCAAATGCTGACCTATGTATTTACTTTGGGGGCCATAAGCACCAAGTGAAATTTAAATGCACTCTTGAATGTGTGATTTGCCCTTTTGACATCTGCTCATGTGTGTTTTCCAGGAATCTTCAGTACTGTCCACTAGTAAAGACAGAAATATGCCTCATTTCTTAGTAAGAGTCTATTAACTCCAGCTGCAGCTATTACATTCTCCATGGTTTTACTTTACATATAAAAACAAACGTATACTGGAGAGTATGCAGAGTAACAGGCGTATAAATACACACATAATGGTTACATCACACGTCATGGCTTTGAAATGCGATGACCAGAGAAATGTACTCTGCAACGATTAGACAAATGCATTCAGTGCTGTACTCAGCATGCTCAAATACTTTATGCCAAGGCTATGAAGCACTGCAGCTGTAATGTGTGGTTGTAAAAGTGTACAAACCACCCAGAAAAACTCCGCTATAAATAACATTCTTGTCTCTGTCATGTCAGAGGCAACATAAGACAAAGTAAAATCGATTTTCCTGGTTGAAGTCCGTGTGAATGTCCTTCTCTTTCAACACCCCAAATGTCAATGGGACGTTATATAGTTAAAGTGAAGGAGGGGCTATGAGGACGCCTCCTCTTTTTCCAGCTTTCCTAGGTATTCTGTCTAGAAATTTGGATTTGCAGAGAGGCCAAAAATTAAGAGCTTAAACACATGGGTTTCAAGCAGTTGCTCTAAATCAGAGCTGAGATAACCCACAGGTAACTACACTCAGACCCTACGAAGATGCTCTACTGCTGTCTGCTCCTCATGGGGCATCATTTAATCTGTCCATGGTGGAGGCTGCATTTGGTCTTTTGGGCTGAAGTGTATTACCATCCAACAGCAACCCAGCAAGCTCCTTGCAGGACTGGTGTTTTACTGCCTTCACAATGTATGAAATGTTCTTTAATCATTCATGGCATTTGTTTTAATTATAAATGGTGTTGGGTTATCATAATCTGTGAAAGAATCAGACTGGGGAAAACATGGTTTTTACTAAAGTCTTAGTATGCACGAGAATGCTGCTCCTCAGTCCTTGACTTTCCTGTGTTTTGTTTAGGTTACAGGTATGGCTTTGCAAACCATTTGCGCAAAGATGATGCAGAGTTTTTCCACTAAGTGCAGTTTTGAGAAATCATAACCAAGGACAGGAGACCCCAGCCGTAAAAACCCTCCTGATAACCCTCCCACACACGAGAGACAGACACAACCAGCGATCTGAAGGGAGAAGAACTTAGAAGAAACTCCATTTCAAAGAAACCCAAACAGCTCCCGTACCGCCGAGGCAGTGTCTTTGCTCTCGGAGAGCGCTCTTTCCAGGTCGCTCAGAGTCTCTAGCTTGGTGCTTTTCTTCTTTCCACTTGGCACTGGCTCCTTTAATTTCTTCTGCTTTCTTTTAAGATTCAACATTCCAATATCACATCGGGGACATAACACCTAATGGACAAAAAAAGCAGTACTGTCTGCAACATTTTTAACACATTCATCCTCCCCTAACACAGACATATACGACTGTTTAGAACAGAGATTCCTGTTTTTCCCATCAAAGATTTTTTTTATGTTTTTTCCCATCAAAGATCTTGGAGGCAGAGTGGGTGGAAGAGGTTATCTGCAAAAGGAGGAAAGCTGGAAGATTAAAAAAAAAATAAAAATAAAAATCTAACTTCATGAGGTGGAAAAGGCTGCAACCACCTGCACGTTTCACACAGACTGCTGGTATATAGTGCTGATGCACTGAATAGTCTCCATTTTATTTACACTGCAAGCCTTGGGAAACAGTATAGGATTCCACAGGCTGCACTGCATTCCCCAGTGTCTCCTGAGGGAGAAAACTAGTTTTGTGGGGAAAAAAAAGGGGGAGAGAAAAAGTTCAGCACAGGCTAGAAAACATTAATTGCTGCAGAACTGCAGCTGTTGACATACAGGCAGCAGCAGATTTAGAGGGCCAGCTCTAAAGAGCAGAGCAGCTACAGACTGAACACAGCCCAGCCCTGAGACCCTGCTGTCAGCACAGCTGATGGGGATGAATCGGGTATGAACCCGCGCTCGAGCTGCTGTAGGCTAAAGCCCGATGTGCTGAAGTAAACCCAGTGACACCAACATGTCAATATTCCTACATTCATACTGAAAATGTCAGTCGGTGGCGCAAGATTCTCACTTATTAGCCAGTGATTAAGGAAAAAATATAAAAAGTGTAGTTAAACCTTAACGATTTAAAAAGTTCAAAATAAATATTAAAAGCACATATCAGTCTAGTAAAAATGAACTTGCTTTAAGGAAAAAGATCGTAACATATTTTACAAATATATATAATATTTTATGTCAGTCACAGCTGTTTCATGTGCTAATGCCCACAGCTCTGTTCGCCTTTTGCCATGACATGAATGGTGATCTATAGAGCCAAGATCTCTCACCTCCAGAAGAGAGTAGGGGCAGTTCTCATACAGAAACGTGTTAGCTGCACATTCCTTCCACGCTTTAACTTCTGACACCAAGGATTCAAGCCTTGGTAGGTAGTCCAGGTGCACCGGAATAGCTCGACCTCTTGTGACAAGCTCCACGAGTGTGTCTAGAACAGGTACACGTCCTCCAGCCTGCCAGATCACAAATTGAGAGTTGTTTATCATCTCTATGAACCACATTAAGTCATTTAAATTAACTGAAGGCAGAACTCGTAGAAATAAAATCTACTTGAACACTTCAGTCACTCCAATACCCACATTTTGAAACTGAAGATTTTAATTCTCTGGTTGTTACGTACGTTAACAAAAGAATTAAAAATAAAAAACCTTACTGAAGGACAGTTTAAAAAGTTTGCCTACAGTATAGCAAACCTGAATCTAACAATCTCGATTCACATGGCAAAAAACAAATTCATTTTGAAATACACCCAGAAGACACATCTAAGCCAGTCCCTGGCACACCAAGAGTGAAAAGCATCCAAGGTATCCTCTGAAAGGAACCCTCTGTTCATCTGAGGTGACATGGTTACGAAAAGTCCAGCAGTAACGCAAAACTGAGAGTTACTATTACATGCATTTTCTTCCTTCAACATTTTAAAAGCTAGAACATCTAAAATTTCTTTAATGTGTTTCTCCTCACTTAAAGATTATTTAATTAAAAAAAAAAAAAAACACAAACACAAAAAAAAACTCCAATGCAAGAACCCCAGGAGAGGTCAGACTGGCCTGAAAATATTAGTACGTCAGGTCAGAGACTGACTTTATGGAGAAAATATGAGAACAACTAATATGAAAATAATAGTCAACTTCTGCCAAAGTTTTCAGGCCGGGCTGTCACAGTCCCAGCCCTTCCTGACTCATGCAGTCCCTCGAGCTTCTCACACCGGTTCTTGTGGGACTGGGCAGGGAAGGACATCAGAAAGAGCATCACGGAGGCTGGGACGAGCACGGTGTGCGGCTGCGTGCACAGCACTGCTAACCCGTGAGAGCAAACAGGCAGAGAGGAGAGTTAAGCTACCACTGAACTGAAAAATAAGCAAAGAATATAATAATACAAGAAAAGAAACTGGCTCCGTAAAGAAAACCAGCCAGAAAGAGGGGGCAACTGCTAGAAGCCAGAGCAAACGCTTTAAAACACCTTCATCTAAAATATTCTTGTGTTCTCTCTCTGCCATTGGCATGCAGATCAACTGAAGACACATTTCACGATGCAAACATGGAAATCATACAATAGTGGAGGAAACCTCAGAAAATGGAAGGGAAGTTGTAAAGAGGGGAAGAGGAGGAGAGCAGGTCATTTCCATCTCACATTTCTGACTAACTACTACAAAATTGCGGATTCTGCAGCACGTAATTTAATCTATCAAATCCAAGGCTGAGCAGGAGAACAAGGGGAAGCCTTGATAGTGATCATCCTTAATATTTCATTAGTGATCTTGGCAAGGAAGAACGATGAACCGATTCCAATGCAATACAGCAATGAAACAAACTTGGCAGACGCTGTTAATCCAGAGGACAATCGGGTATTATACAAGAAGCAACAAATCCATCAGGACTGGAGCAACAGAAACAGTACTTTCCCGACAAATCCAGGACTCATCATATGTTTACTACTTACTTTACAAAACTAACCTTAAGTTCTGTAATATTGTACGCTTTAAACTTTAGATTTGTTAATAGCTCTTTTATAGATTCGTTGCAATCATTTAATTGAAGAGGTGAAGCAATATAAGTTAGGCCCAGAAAAAAAATGTGAAAATACCAGCATTCTGGGTGCAACTGCCCCATGCCTAGAGCAGCAGCTGTTACGGGTTAAGCATTCTCAATTCACTAACTAATTTCGGTGAGTTAGGGTCATTCACTGAAAACCAAATGCATTTTACCTACCTGTAATCCCTCCACTTCTTGCAACCAATCTTTGGCCTTCTGCACTGCATCCTTGAGTGCGGCACCATTTGGGAGATAGGCTGGAATCTCCTCTATCTCTCTCACCGCTGCTGCGAGACTGCTCAGTGACTGCCGTGGTCTATGTAAATAAAGCATTTCAGCAGGTAAAACACTCCTATCCACTAATTTGGTTTATTAAAATCAAAAGGTAACACTAAATGCAGAAGTTCTGTCCAATGCTACTGATGTTTACTGTACAAATCCTGCACGTTTAATGCAGCTATGGTTTTTAGAAATGTGTATTTGCTTGCAAAAGTTTTAATAAAATGCTAGAAACATTAAGAAAACCATTATGCTTTTCTACATAACACCTTTTCCTTTATTTTTGATAAAGTAAAACACAAATTCAACAGAATGAATGAACATGATGTGGTTGGATGTATTATTTCTAAATATTACTGAATTTGGGCTTAAAGGAGATTTAACATTTACTATCTTTTGAGTAAAGTTCTTTAAGAATCCCTTGGAGTCTCAAAAAAGCACACCGCACCCCAAAACAATATCTGTTTTTCAGAAGGAGGGTAAAAACAAGCCTGAATATTCCAGCTTATGCTTTATGAAGTTATTATATTAAAATAACATGGCTTTTATTAGTGGGAAATAAATGCTCAAATGCTTTCATAATTATGAGACTGGAAAAAGTAATTAGGAAGACTGATGAACCAAAGTGGGGCACACTTCATTTAAAATGTATAAAGGTGGCTCAAACTTGTGAGTAAAATGTGTACCCTTCCTGTCTTAGTTTTTAAATCAGAAGGGTCAAACCAACAAACAACAATCATCATCTCAGGATGTATTTGCCTCGTTTCCTTCTCTCACAGGTAAATATAATGCACCAATGGCTTGCTTTAGGTTCCCAAATGGAAGATGCAGCACTAAGATTTAGCTTTTACCTGGCCTTTATCAGATTTCTGGCTTTGTCATCCCAGTGTTCAGATACGGTAAGGAGTTCCTGTAGTTTAGCCATTGCTTTCTCAACTGCTGGATAAGGAGCCAATCCAACACCTGAATCTATAAGACGTCTCATATCATCTAGAGTAAGAGAGTTTTGGTCTGCCGAAGCCAGCTGCACGTCCTCTAGCCAGCGTGCCTGTTCCAGACGTGTCCGCAGGTCAGCGAGTTGGGGAAGATCCACGTCAAAGTCAAAGCTGACATCTAACAGCTCCTGGAGTTCTGCAGCGCTAGGCATTTCTTCAGAGAGGAGTTTGTGGCTATGTTGCTGAAAAGCTTCCACACGATCAAGAAGATCCTGAAATAAACAAATGCAGCAATAAAATAAGAAAACCACCACCAAGTCTCTTAGACTTCTAAACATTACTGGTAAGCTACCTGGCAAACGCCATGTTACACTGCACATGATGTGAAAGGCAAATTATTATTAAAATATTTAAATAGCATATCATCAACACAATTCAAATATTCAAGCAAGAATTCAGATTAGTTCTGAGTTCTGGTCAGAGTAAGAAAAAATGCTACTCTGAGTTTACTCTGTTACTCTGCAAAGGCTGATGTGAAAAGATAATTAGATCACTTGTCTGTCCCCAACCATTCAATGTTCCCCCAAATTCTACCACCTAGTTCAAACACTCTCATACCCCCTTGCCTTCCCAAGTCCTGCCTGTCGCAGCACTGCAGGATGCCAGAAACACTGTTATCCTCCTGTAATACCCCATGCTCTCCTTGACTTTCCCTTCAACAGAGAACAGGCAGGAAGAAAAAAAAAAAAAAGACATTCTACTAGGGTGAGGCATTCAAATTCTTTCAGCTCCATAAACTAAATGGACAATATGTTGAATTGCAGAATAATTCTGGTTGGAACGATGCTGTGGATATATTGAGGTCTAACAATGCTGCTAAGAGCATGGCCAACTTCAGACTTGTATCATCAGTGCACTGAGTTTGAAAATCTCCAAGGACAGCGATTCCTCAGCCTCTCGCGGCCTCTGCTTCAGTGTCTGACCATCCATGTCACCCTTTTTTTCTTTTTTTCTCACTACAACATTGATTGTGTCCTCTTTCCTCTTTCATTGTGCACCTCCAAGCAGAAACTATATCCACCTTTCCTAAAACATCCCTTTAGGTGGGTTATATCAGTAAGCACAAACACCCCTAATATCCCCGGTCTTCTCTCTACACTGAGCAGACGCAGCTTCCTCAGCATCTCCTCTTGCATAATGTTATCCACTAGCTCAAGGATGCACAGTACAAGAGATCCTGATTTAAAACTCCTTTGAAACAAGAGAGAGATGTCAAACTTAATAATATTAATAGAAAACCATTGGGAAAATTGAATGTTCCGTCAGTATTGTTTTCTCGCCTTATTTTGAAACAGTTAAGAAAGCTGAAGAACATTACTGGAAAAAATGGCTTTGAAGAATGCTGGGAAGGGCCTGAAGCTGCTGTGGCTGGTTTCTGAAGAGGGACTGCTGCATTGTTGAGGTTTTTGAGCTTAACACACAGTTCTAGTGGTCAAAGACCATGTTTCAGTCTTTAAAACAGTGCAAACACCTTCTCTCTCTGTATGTTCAACAGTTAATTACACTCAAAAGGTAAATCTGTGGCTGTTTGCACCTCACCTAGGCGGGGCACAATTAGCCTGAGCAGTCTCCCTGGCAAGGCTGGAGTTACTGTGTGTCTAGCCAGCACGTCCAATGCTTGTAGCACTGCCCAAAATGCCCCTTAACAGCAAGGTCTTCTTTGACAGTTCCTGGTATTTTGCTGGTGAGGCAGTTTGCTGATCTGCACAACCCTCAGCAGTGGATGCACTGCTAGAACAGTTATTTAACTACCCTGGGTCAGTGGGTGAAAGAGCTATCTACTTAAAAGACTATGAGAAAGCTGACAACAGATTAAAACAATAAAGAAGAGATATAGACATGAGAACTGTCACTCAGAGCATTATTAAACTTCAAATATTTTCAGACAAAATTGACTCTTTCAAGAGGGGACTAGTTAACTGACCCAAACTTTTGATTTGTAGCTACCCAGGTCATTGTGCTATTTCTGTATGTTACTTTGTACAATGCTAACATTTTAATTACTTCATGTTGGATAAAATTCTACTGACAACAAACACCAGCGTGTCAAAGAAATCAATCCTTCGGTAACTCATGAGTACAAGTTGCCCAGGGCTGCTAATTTTGAAGAATTTATTCTTGCAGCAAATAGTATGATAATGATGTATTTACGTTTCATTAACCTGCTACAACATGCTCAGATTTGTTCCCCTAGAATTTTACCTTCAGTAAAGGTGTCTGACTGAGGACACAGGGCAGAGCATAGAGCTGCCTTACGAACAACCGCAGCTCATTCACAGACAGCTGATTCTGAGATTTTCCTCCTCCAGAGCGGTACCTGCAATTACAAACAATTCAGCTTTGCTGGGAGTCACTAAAACAAAATCTAAGCTCAAAAGTCTGCTTATGATTTCTTGTAACTCAAACTTTACTTAGAGATAATGCAATATTCAGAAGTATCCAAGCAGCCTAGGGCTTACACATATGGCAAAACTGAGTTAGCTATAGCAGAATAAGCTATTGTTGGAAAAAAACCCTCATATTAAATAATTCTCTGGAACAACTACTCCGTGTTGGAAGTACACTACTTATTATGGAATAAAATCAGGCTTTTTTTTCCAGAACACAAAGCAATGATGGACAAACTATTCAGTCATGTTGCAATAGCTTTTGTAGTCAGTCTCTCCTCATGTCATACCAAAAGAGAACAAATCCTAGATCTGAATGAGATTTATACTCCCAGGTCATGTAAGCACTTCTAAAAAAAATCCTCCCTCTGATGTGATCATCATTTTCATTTTTATTTAAAAGCTTCATATAAAATGAGTGGCTTTTATGTGTTACCAAATTGGCTAATATTAAAAACCTCTCTAAATTCAAGCCAATATTAACTAGTCTGAGTACTCTCAATAGAAAAGGAAAGAAACCTCTTACAATGCTGGCAGTTTAATCCACAATATGTCATTTAAATAAAAGAGGAAAACAACATCCCAGCAGGATGTGCCAGCATGACTGAAATGTGAACACTATAAAGTGAGTATTAATTTTACCATTCTCGGTTAAAAATAGGTTTAAGGGATAAGCATACAAAAAAAAAATCACACTGGGAGTTCCAAAATTTATAGGAAACCAAGTAAGAGAAAATAACATGAATTCGGTCTAGGCTCTTTCAAGGTCTACGGTGCTCTACTACTATTTGCGGAAATTCTGCAGTAGTTTTCACTATGTACACGTGTGTAAATAAATGTCTATATATAAAAAAATGTGTGCTCTAGGTGTCCCTGCTGGAGCAGGGGGGTTGGACTAGATCTCTACAAGTCTTTTCCAACCTCAACCATTCTGTGATTCTGTAATTCTGTGATATATTATATAAACATAAAACTTCAGTTCTATGAAAACTTCATAATCCCTTCAGTGATTCATAATTGCAGCAAATCTGCACAGTAACATTTACCTGGTTTGTCTTTTGCCATTAAGAAGCTGCTGTGCCACTGAAGCACATTTGTCTGCATCCTGTGTAACTAGTCTGAGGTGTCGCAGTAGATCATTGTCCGGAAACTTTTTAATTTCTGATTCTTCTATCAAAGCCTTAAAACTGACGAGACCTTTAAGGAAAGATACTATGTTAACAGAAGTCCCTCTTTGTGCTGGCTTTTAAATAAAAAGGTGGAATAATACACATTAAAATGTGTTTCTAATTCAATATCAGTTATATTTGGTTTTGAAGAAAGGTGAATTACAACCTTGAAAGTTACTGCAACTACAATATTTACCTTAAGACAGAAATCATATATATTTCGTTTGACTGTCACGTAAGCATGAAAGCATGGTAGGTTTCAAAAATTGAAAGCTGAAAAATTAGCTATTTTTAACCATATCTTTAATTGTAAAGTATAAGATACTTACTTCTTTTATTGTTAATTTTTGCCTCCAAAGCTTCATTAACATTGGAAGCCCATTCATTGTATGATTCTGCTCGTAGCTTCAGCGCATTCATCATTGGATACAGATCCTCCAGGTTATATCGGTATCTAGGAGTAGAACAGAACTCAACCTTCAAGGTAAGAGAGCAATTGGAAAGAAATACTGGTCCATATCATACAGCAATGATGTACTATTTACCTAGTTCATGTTAATTAGGACAATTTTAAGACAATTCCAAAGTAACCATTGCTTCAAAAAGCACACAATCTACATTAACAAACCATGGCGAAAGAAATATGAAAGCAGGAAGATTAAACTAATAAAAGAAAAAAAAAAGATTACTCAAAGCAAGAGTCATGTAGTAGAAGATGACTTTGTCACTATAAATAAAGCAAGCAAACTAATTTTTGCCATTGTGTCACGAAGCGCAGCTGAAGAGTGGAAAAGAAAGAGTCTTTGCTTTGCCTATGAGCACAGAAACTGCATTTTGTCTTCAGAATACTGCATTTGCACAAGACTATGGAGAAACAGAAGACCAGGACCAGCATCAATGGCAAAACAGACCAAGTCACAGGGTTATCCAGTCACAACAGATACGTATAAAACAAGTATGTCCAGAACATACCAGATAGATATTGCTATCTGAAACTTACCCCAACTTATATTTGTAGGTGGGACAGGAACAGAGATCTTCTACATGATGCAGGCATACGAGTAACCCAGGTTTACATGAGCAATAAACAGCAGACATGAAACAAGTGGTTTTACACTTTAAACACTGTCGCTCATCATCAGGAAACAACTCAAAAGCCACTTGCTCCGAGTCAGTCACTCCCTGCAAAAGAGAAGGCTACATCACCTCAAGGTCTAACAAACAGGTGATTTGTCCAAGGTAAAAAAAAGAGGCTAAGTTTATCAAAGGACTAACACAGTTGTAACCTTGGATAATGAAGAAATCAGCTATTCTGAATCAAACTACTGAAACACACAAAACGTATTACTTTAAGAGAGACATGTTAACAATATTAAAAACAGACACTAAAACAAGATTCACAACGATTCTCTACCCAACAGGCCTTTGAAATCCAACATCACAACTCCAGAAGGCCCTATGCAGCTCTCAACTGTTGACAACACAGTCTAAGTCCTTAGAGTGTATTTCACATCAGTGCTCCGATGTTCCTTCATTCATTATGATTTTATTTCCGAGAACTCACCAGCTTATGAACCCTCTCACGCAACATCTTCTCATCTTCAATCATAATTGCCATGTCTTTCTGAACAGTAGATGCTACCACAACATCGAGGACATCGGCTTTGGAAGCCATTTTACAAATCATCTCATCGTGAGAAAACACGCAGTAACGGTGCAGCAGGCGATAATGTTCCACACACTGGCGACCCAAGGGTAACTGCATTGAAAACCATTAAAGGGAAAATTACTAGGAATAAAGTGCTGACATATTCCTTTGAATACCAAAACTTTCCATTCTCCTTTACAGAGTTGTTATTCTCTAAAAATACGTGGTACCTCTCCTATCCAAAAGGACTTATTCATAGTCAGATGTAATTTTTTATGCTTATCTTTCCAAGAGAACTGTCTAAACCTTTAACCGTTCTTACGTTCTCATCTGTACGTTCTCATCCAATTTAAAGACTGTCATTCCATCATAGAAGCTAGAATGGAAGAACCTAGAAGCAGTCCAAGACTAGCTTTGTTTTTCAACTGTAGGAGGAATCCATTAGAGAATTCTCAGTGTAATCAGCAGGCAAACTGCATTCCAGCTTCCAAACATCTTAGGATAAGAATGGAAACTGGGGACACAAGAATAGTTTCAAGCAGTGTTGGTGCCCCTCATGCAGGAGGCATGCCCAAAATCTTGCCTCCCTCCTGCCATAAAATTTACACCAAACTTAAACTTTTCTTTTTAAACTGAACCTTACTAACCAGAAAAAGTCCACAGTTCAAGTGCGCTAAAGAAATTATCACTATGCTACTAGTCCCAGGCTCCCTCTGATCTGTGCAATACACGTGTGCAACAGCAGTAAAACATGGGAATTGTAATCAGCCAGGAATAAGTCTGAAACCACAAACGTTATGCATTATGAAAAAAATGTTTTCAGAACCTACCCAGTCAACTGTGCAGAAGTTCACAGCTTCAGCAAAATTGAAACCCTGATTGAAACCACTGTGATAAGCTCTTGGAAAAGTGATGACAAATTCTCCGGCACACTGATTGGTTCGATAAACCTAAGAGGGGAAAAAAAATAGTAATAATAATAATAATAAAGATGGGTATTAGGTCAAATCTAAACAGAACTGAAGGCTGAAATCTTCAGAGCTGTGAAGAGAACATAGATTTCCAAAATCCCAGTAACTTCCATGGTAACTCTGGATGGCTTTAAGAATAAGCCTAAGAATTACAATTGACATTGGTAATGTATCACATAAAATCCTAGAAAGGAAAGGGATTTCATTCAGCCATACCTACACTCTAAGAGATTGCTCGTCAGCTGTCTGTGCTCACTCTGCTGACAGTTACACAGGTAAAGCACAGGCAAGATTCGCTTCAACACGGAGCTGACGGGGAGGGAATTTTGGAGCCTGTTCAAAAGTTCTTACTGCTGCACGTCTACTACTTTTGGTACTAGACAAGCAGCCTGAGCAAGCAGGTCTTCCTGCATCTTTAAATTTTGGAGTCTCTGAAAGCACAGCAGGCACCATAAATCGTGCCATTTTCTCCAGATTTTCTTTCTAGTCCCAAGGTCAGTTAATCAAAAGCTAATTAAGTTGTAAAGGGACATAATTCCCATGAAAAGTTTTATATGGAATATGATGGAAACTGATGAAAAATGTTTTCAAATAGCTAAGAACTTATCTGGGTCAGAGGAAAAATAAGAGGATATGGATGACATATGAAGGAAGAATGGGTTTTGGCCCCTTGCCAGAAACTCTATGCAAAAAATAAAAATTGTGTCTGATAAAACAGACACATGAAGAGCTCCTGCATTTGTTTCAAAGTTCGTGACTAAACTTCTTATCTGAGATACAAAAATAGAAATACACTACAGGGGGTCTCCAGAGAAGAGCTTCCCAAGCAATTCCAGAAGCTTGGAGCCTATTGCCCATCTGTTCAAACTGGCAAATAATACTAGACCAGAAAGATACAACACACATGGAAACTACCACAACATCTCTGTAATAAAAGTGGTTGCAATTATCAAATTTGAAGTAGAATTCAGTGCAAATGAAAGAGGGTTGGGTTTGGGGGAGTAGCACAGGAGTCCAACAACATACAGGTACTCCGTGGGCCATCAAAGTATTCGGGTTCATTATGGTGACAAGTTGGTGCAAGAGATCTGGCTGAGATTCAAATAGCTCTGGAGCAAGCTTCTTCATTACATCCTCCAGCTGTTCAGCTGCATACCCTGGGGCTCCATACCACGTTTTAGGCTCCCCCCTGCAAGATTATTAAAAACAGTTAAATATGAGCAAACTTGTAAGTTACATTTTCAGTCTTCTGCTTTAAACCCACCATGTCAAAAGAAGGGAGTATTGCCAAGAAGGAACGCAAGGATTATGTACCTTCTGGAATCTTCACATTTAATGCAGGTCCCTCCAAGCCTAAGCTTTTAAATGCCCAAATATTCAAATATCTGAGCACCTACTTAAAATATTTGGGGGAAAGAAAGAAAAAAAAGGAAAGAAAGAAAAAGAAAACAAACAAACAAACAGACTGAAAAAGTCCTTGGTGAAGTTCTGCTGATTCCAGAATAACTAATCTAAGCTTAGTTTGTCTTTTCCTCTAACTACTAATACCATCTTCCTTCGGGATCTAACAACCAAAGCCAGACCTGGGCATTACTGCCACAAATGTAACATACAGTGAGTAGAAATAAAAATTCCCTTTTTACGCAGCCATAAGAGAAGTAAAAGACATAAGGGAGGGGGGGAAAAAAAAATCTGTATCCAGAGTAGGAACAAAGAACTTTTAGCAACAGGTTAACCCAATCCAAGACAGCTGATAAGATTCAGGTTATGCAGCCACGTTCCAATATACGTTGCTTTGTGTTCACAATGAAGCTGGCTTGTTGCAGCATATGAGAAAGAAAATGCTTCTGAATCCTATTACAGAGACAAGTTAGAAAACCTATGCAGAAAAGGATGTCAACCCATCACTTCCACCTGAGCATCCTAACGTGTTGGCAGAAGAAAGCTGATGCACCACTGTTTTGTTTTTAATACATCGAGAAGTAATGGGGAGAATTCCAGAAAAAAAAACAAACAAAAAATCACTCAAAAGGCACATGCTTCAAACCTTGGAACTGATTCCTGTATTCAGCACCTTTGTTGTGGGTAAAAGGCAGCTAGTTTGAAGGACCGTGGAAGGACCGTTATGTTGCTATCACTAGGACTAGCACAAGTGGAGTTGTTAACTTAGAGCGTTAAATTACTACGGCAGCCTCGGATCTTGTCCTCATCTTGGAGCAACTACACGAGGTTGTGAAGAGTAGTTAAGATGCAAGTGGGAAGTGTTCTGTGTCCTAAGCCAATACTGGGCTAAGTCAGTTTTGCTCCTTGGTATGAAGATGAGTCAGTGACAAGGAATGGATTATAGTAGTTATGAATGAGGCTACATTTGGATCAGAATGTTGGTGCAGGGATTCCTGCACTTAAAGATAATAGGGAGTGGAGAAAAATTCTAAAGGACATGTAAGAGGTCAGCCTTATGAACACAGCAAGCTGAAGAAGGG